GGGGCCGCGAGAGAGCGAGCGCTCACGCCACGTGACCGGCGCCAACATGGCGGCGCCCAGCGGCGTCCACCTGCTCGTCCGCAGAGGTAAGCGCCTGGAGGACAGCCTCGGGGGCTTCGCGCCGTCGCTCACTCGCTGTGAACTCGGGTTCAAAGGGATACACGCTCGCGCTAAGACATCGCGGCGCACACGAATGTACTTTCAGTTCTCGGAAACGCGCAGGCACACGCGGTGACACATGGACGTGCCGCAGGAACAGACTACACGTTTGTTCACTTGTCGCTCGCCTAGACCGCGTCACTGCGTGGCATCTATTGGCAGTCACTCCTTGAGATTTATGGGACGTTGTCTGAAGTTTGCTTCGCCCGCCTCAGTTGTCTGACTAGCGGAGCAAACTTATTCCGGCTGCGGGCGATGAGCCGGAGGTGACAAATGCGCCGGGACGCCGAGTTGCCACAGACAGGGCACAGCTGTATCTGTTGCAGCCATTGGCGCGATACAGCACGTCCTTGGGGGGAACTTGGAAAATGTGGTTATGTTCTTACAGTGACTTAAGGTTAAGAAGAGGAGAAATTATGTCTGGGTAGCTGTCAGTAAGTGTTATCCTTGTGTGAGAGGTGAAATTTTAGTAAATGTGCAAATACTTCTGCAGCCGAATTAGGGAAACCCTTGTTGGATTTGAACTACTTTTTGAATCTTTGTTGGAAAGAACTAGGAAGTTCTTCCAAGGGTGGGGAAAGAGGGGTTACTAACATATTTTGAGAGACTACCCTAGGTGTCAGGCATGTAGGAATAACTCCTGTGAGGTAAATATTATCTTTATAGTAAATAGCTATGTTTATAATGTATCTTATAGCACATGACACTGTGTTAAGCACATTACATATGCTAGCTACCTTATAAAACCCAATGAATTAGGCATTATTCCCTGTTTGCAGATGAGAGAAGTGAGACAGAGAGGTTAATAAAACTAGTCACACAGATTGTAAGAGAGAAAATGGGCATTTGAACATGACTGATTTTTTTTTTAAGCCTCATTCCTGTGCACTGCAATGGCATGGTCTCTCCATAAAAGTCAGTGTGCAGATAGGACGAGTATGATGCATGTGTGTGTGTGACAAGCAAAGAGGAGAATGTTTTTAGAGAGGAAGGAGGTTGGTAGGCAGATAAACCTCAGTATTTCAGTTAGTGGAGGTGAGTAAGGAGCCAGAGGAAGATATGAGGTGAGAGTAGTGTAAGGGAAGGTGATGTAGGCAGTATTTTGAACTGGTTGAATGGAAGACTGGAGGTCAACATGAGAGTGCAGCCCTGTGAAAAGAACACCAATTTACATCTCTTAAGGTCTGGGCTCCATTCCAAACTCTATTTACTAATCAAGTTACTTTTTCTGTTTCCTCTTTTGACAAGAAATAATGGCAGTTAGACTTCTTTTTTGTGCACTGCAGGGAATGGTGAAGAGGATCTGGGGAGACAGTCAAGATAGAGGAGGAAGCAAAACATGCACACATATTATATACACACTTAGGTACCTCTCTATATATACGTATATATATATAATCTCGTTGCAGATTACAGAAATAACATATTAATCTTTTATGTCACTTATGATTTTGACAAACTGGTGGTTCAGACGATCTTGGGAAAGCTACTCTAGGGAAGCGAGGCCTGGTTATTGGTTCCTATAACCCATCCCACTGTACCCCACAGTGCTGCAACAACTAAGAGAGGGATCTTCTCATTGGAAGAGGAAGGAAAAATGTGTCATCAGGAAGAGGTTTTTAGTGATGGGGAAAGTTTTCTTTTATGGAATATTCATAGTTTTAAACTACAGACAGGTTTCCTGTACCACCTGCCTGCTCCCCCCCCCCCAATTTGAAAATG